TAAAGCTGCACTAATCAATATTTAATTATGGATGAAATGACTATGTGAAATGTGAAAGGTGTTGCTCATGGCATAGTTACAACCCCAGTATCACCCAATACTGCAGTTCCATTAAGTATTTTAGCAATTTTAGCTACCAGCAGCAAACAGCAAACAAAGTTAGCATCTACCTTGTGAACAAAGTGGAGTATTTAGCAAATAAAGAGCCACACAGAACTAAACAGAGCAAAAAAAGGAGAGCGAATATTGGATTAGGTGTTCAAAAACACAATTCCAAATGAATGTTAATGTTGCTCTGCGTCTACTGTTTGCTGACACACAGCGCCTTTAAATTTAGCTTAAGTGACAGTAAAACTTCTGGATTCTGTTCCACCAGTAAGAAAACCTGATCTAAAATCACAATAATGCAAATTACTCTGCTATCTGTTGTGGTGTTATGTTTCTGAAGACTGGGGGGGTAATGTTTTGGTGGCATTTAACGTACATTTTATGTAAGTCCTGAACCATTGCAGGTTAAATGTCCCCAGCTCGACAGAATTAGACTACTCAAAATTGACCATTTTAGGAAGAAACTCTTCAGTTGTTCAGCTGAGCAAAGAGCTCGTCAGTGTGGGCAGCTGCAGCAAACGCCTCTCCCTCCACAGGCACTCTGTTCAGTCCATAGTGACACCTTTAATATTGGCCTTTTGCACAAGTACAAGTAAAAGTCTCCATAAATAGAACTATACAGCAAAGTGCATGGAAGGAACAGTACAAAAATACCTCTGAATTTACCTCTGCAGCAACACATTGTTTTTTTGTTGTTGTTTTTTTCTGATTTCTGATTGAAAAGGTGAAAAGTTGAGTGAGACCAAGATATCAGTAAATAAATAAAATACAATGTCATACTTTTACCTAGGCAAGATACATAACTCTTAGAAATGTGAAGACATCATTCCAGTATATAGTTTGACCCCACCCCCCTCCCTCCCGCTTAGCCACAGCAATCCTCTGTTGTTAGAGCAGAAGGTGACCACATTTAAACAAATATTCAAAATATACAGAAAATATGGAAATATATTATATATAGATACGTATAGAGTACGGAAGTAATGTTCAGGGCAGTTT